AAATTGGCAGGTGCTAAAGTACAATAAATCAGAACTGACCAGTGTTGTGTCTTCCACTTGCAGTGCTTTGATTTGTGTTTGGTTTTACTCTAATGTCACTCACTATCGGCTTAATCAGGCACAAAGAACAGCAACTGCAACTGCATGCGTACAAAATGTATGTCGGCATGTTTTGCTTTCATGAGTGTGAACAGAATTAAGCTTAATTTCAGTCTGATACTATTTTTGCTGTTTATATATTAGACTAGAAAAGGTGTTTTAAACTGAAGGTTAATTTTGTTTGTCAACGTTTAGAATTGCACCGGATTCTGAGAGAAAAATTGGATAAGGAAATTCCAGTCATTAACGTGGTAGCTGTTACAGGAACAACAGAACAAAGCGCTGTGGATCCAGTGACTGCAATTGTCGATTTGCGTGAAAAGTTCAGAAGTAAGGTAATTATTAGGTTAATAAAAACCAATTCACCATCACTATCATCATCATCACCATCATCATCATCATCATCATCATCATCATCATCATCATCACCATCATCATCATCACCATCACTATCATCATCATCACCATCATCATCATTAGACTGATGGTTTTCGGACTTTGCGACCTTGACTTCAAATGGTTCCTCCAAAGGCACAATTGTTTTATTTTTCGGTCAAAAGGCATAACAAGTAACTAGAAGCTAAGAAGTATACTGTGTATAAAAATGACCGGAAATGGTTTAAACGGGCCTTTATGAAGTTATTTTTTAAGTCGGTAAAGTCGTTTAGTCAACAAATCTAGTGGTAAAGACTAAAATTAAGTGGTAAACTCAAATTTTTACCAATTCTGCGAGTTATCTAGATACCATTTAAGAGTTTCGCAGCTCATGACTTACCACAGACCTTTTTATTTCCTCTTTTTTTCGAGCGATTGCAAACGCCTCGATATGTGTTACATTGAACAGTACTTGCGAAGGAAAAATTTTGCGAAGAATTTAAAAGGTGTGTTTTCAAACGCAAATCGAAATACGAAAGGCTGTATTCAATCACTTAACGTGAAATTCACGTCAGAGGTAGTTATTAGTAATATCTAACTGTCTTTTAAATTAGAAATGATAATATTTATGTTTATAATTTTTTTCGAATTTTTTTTCAGAGTACCCCTTTTACCTACCGGGTCCCGTAGTCCACTTAATTACGCTTCAGATAGAAATATTAAAATATTTGGAGAACATTTTGACGAGAGAGCAGCGAATTGGAAAGGAGATAACGTTCAACAAAGTCAATGATGTAGCTCGAGTTTGGTAGTGTTTCGTAAAAACCACGAGCCGGGAGATCCATATTTATGAACGATGAGGTCGCATTTTCCACAGAAGTTGCGCTGGATTCTAAAAGTCTCTACATCCAAATATTTTCAAGTTTGTCGTATTTTGAGGACATAACTGATCTCAGAGAGGTGTGAGGCACCTGAGGTAAGTTACGTTTCATGTTGCTTTGGGGAGACCGGTATCGGAAACAACAACAAAAAAATTAATGCACCCCTTAGGTTGAAAAGTTGGAGCGTAAGTTTTGTTACCGCTTTTTGCGTTCTCAAAGGTAAACTACAATACATCGATAAACCCCAACGAACTTGCAATGATGCATCATGTTTGAAACCGAGGTACAGTGGCAACCGTATGTAAGGTACAAGAATGTTGTGCAAAACTCCCTTGAACCCCCTTAAATAGACCAAAATGGGTGTGGCTCAGACTATGCTTCTCCCCTAAAATAGCCGATTCTTAAAAAGGCAACCAGTTCCAGGGACCACTTAATACTGGAGCTGATGTGATCTATATTGCATCTATATTGCATCTATATCGCGCGAAGTTGTATGAAATTATATACTGCCGTTAACACAATATGAGCGCGTTTAAAGTAATTTTCTTTAGTAAGTGGAGAATTTTGTATGTTTAAAAACATTAGATTTCCATCCTGACCACCCTAAGTGAGACTAAAGTCAGAAATTTACACTCCCAATGGAAACTAGGGTTAATAACAGATAAATTTACGTGCTGGTCATATTCGTTGGTTTAGTGCTTTTCACATCTTCAGATCTTCACGACACCTGCAGCTAATTAAATTAAGTATCAAATNAGGTAAACTACAATACATCGATAAACCCCAACGAACTTGCAATGATGCATCATGTTTGAAACCGAGGTACAGTGGCAACCGTATGTAAGGTACAAGAATGTTGTGCAAAACTCCCTTGAACCCCCTTAAATAGACCAAAATGGGTGTGGCTCAGACTATGCTTCTCCCCTAAAATAGCCGATTCTTAAAAAGGCAACCAGTTCCAGGGACCACTTAATACTGGAGCTGATGTGATCTATATTGCATCTATATTGCATCTATATCGCGCGAAGTTGTATGAAATTATATACTGCCGTTAACACAATATGAGCGCGTTTAAAGTAATTTTCTTTAGTAAGTGGAGAATTTTGTATGTTTAAAAACATTAGATTTCCATCCTGACCACCCTAAGTGAGACTAAAGTCAGAAATTTACACTCCCAATGGAAACTAGGGTTAATAACAGATAAATTTACGTGCTGGTCATATTCGTTGGTTTAGTGCTTTTCACATCTTCAGATCTTCACGACACCTGCAGCTAATTAAATTAAGTATCAAATAGTACTTGGTGGGGAGCCAGTGACAAGCGTTTTCATACGAACTGCAACTAGAAATTAAAAAATATATATGCATTCTATCTATGTGTGCGTGTATACTTATCAATCACAGAACGTGATAAGAATGTAGTAAGGATATCAATGATAAACTCCTGACTGCGGCTATAGTATTTCCCTTTTTTCACGTTTTGAAGGTCATCATCTGTAATCTACTCCTTAACAGAGGCACGGCAAAATGGCTAATCAACGAATTTTACGCCCCATCTGGGACTCGGATTTTTTTTCCGAGTCCTCCTCAAATTAATAATAATAGTAATAATAATAATAATAATAATAATAATAATAATAATATTAATGATAACTGTAAGTTACATTCTATAAGCATTGTTCAAGTAAGTGAAACTGGTGTTGTATAAAGGTTGCAAATGGAAGAAAAGAGGTTTGAAACTAATCCTCGGTAATTGTTTATCGTTCTTACAGGTGCTACAGTGAAACCTTACAAAATACAATATTCAGAGACATGATCAAGTTTATGACAGTGTTCCTAAAAACACAATTTGAATGAAGAAATATTTCTACTTCCTGTGTATTTTAATATTCTTAGAATAAAAATAATTAATAACGAAATTATGAAACTAGAAAAAGAAATCGAAGAAAATGTGAAATAATCTTTTTCAATAATCGGCAAAATGACAATCATTGGCAGAAATTGCTCAGTTTTGTCTCATCGTTGTACTCTGTCGCTTAAATACATGTACAAAAGATTATTGTTGTTCTGTACCAAATATGAATTCTACAAGATACTATTATAGCATCTATGCTTAATATAAATATTCTTCGAAAGTTATCTCGTTCAAATCGTTACGATTTTACTTTCACTCTGCTTCACAAAAATAATCATTGTTTCTTTATAAGCTTACCTGTGATTTTTTTAATTGCTCTTCTCCCTGGCAAGCCTGACGAAAATCTGCGCGGGCTTGTTTGAGCTCAAGTAAGATATTCGGTCCGTTGTATCTACCATCTGGGACTCGGATTTTTTTTCCGAGTCCTCCTCAAATTAATATCATGTTGTTGTTGTTTCATCTTTAATATACTATTATTATTGGTATTGTTATTGTTAATGTTACAATTATGTAGGAGCATCTAATTTATCAGAGCTTGTTTGAATGAAGCCCTGACATTGTTAAGTTTTCTTCATGAGTGACCAGCTGTAGATACGTTGTTAGAAGCCCCTTGTGGAAGGGACGGGAGGGGAGGGGGGTTACTTGGGATAATCTTTGCCGGGTCTCTGCCACCACTAGCCTCTCAGAACCCCTACCCCATTATAGTGGCCATATTATAGACCCCATCTTAGTCACTTTAGAAAAAACGTGATCCCAACTTAGTGACTGTCTGTTTATGCATCTACCTTATAACACCTTTTGACCAGGTCATCCAGAAATTAACTGACATGTTTGTTAAATTTAATGTGGTGTAAATCTTCCTATTTTTAAACCCCTACATAACTAATTTTTCTGACCCCCAAATCCTGAAAACGTGCGACCCCATTCTATAACTCTTAAATAAAAGAAACATAAAAGTCAATCCAGTCGTGAAAATACGACCCCATCCAGCAGCACATACCTGTTAGCGTACTTCTAGGAAGTAAACCCCCTCCCCTCCCCTCCCCTCCCCTCCCCTCCCCCCGGGCTGGAAGTCTGTTTAGCCTCTAAGGTTATTTTTGTAAGGGCAAAAAACGATAGAGGGTTTCCCCTGAGGGAACTCAAGTTAAGCGAATATTATAGGGACATGTATAAAACTTATATTTATGGATCAGACATGAAGCAGGGGTAACAAATTTTGAATTCGGTTTCATAAACTTTTAACTGTAAGCTACATCTCTTTGCTGAACTCTTAGTTTGTAGTATCCTGCATTACATGTCGTAATTGAATTAATGTCTCGTCACAGAAATGACAGAGTAAGCTGAGCTGACTAGCATATCCCTGTAGGATAACAAGTGAAAACATTAATTTGTAACTATTTTATATTAGAAAATGAGAACTCAACATCCATTTTAATGTGTATAAATAATAAAAAATTGCTTCACTTTTTTAGGCTGAGAGACACATTTGGGCTCTCAAAGGACTGTACAAAGTAGTAACCAAAAGCAATCCGCCGGACACTGAAAACGAGAGTGAATTATCGGGCCTGGAGCAAACGAAGAGACAACAAAGCAAAAGAAGAGACAACAAAGCAAGCGAAAGCCTTCATAAAAGAAACAAAACTAAGAAGATCTGAGAATAGTTCTGGTTCTCGATCAATAAGCAGGAAAAGAAAATTGCCCCAAAGTCACTCAAGATCAAGGACCCCAAAAATGAGCAAGGAAGATAATACAGACAACAGTTAATCGGAATCGTCAGAAAGTACAGAAAACAGCAAGAAAGATAATACAGACAGCAGTCAATCGGAATTGTCAGAAAGTACAGAAAGCAACGACGAGGAAGATGAAGAGCAGGATGTGAAACCAAATAAAAGAAACAAATTTCGTTGCCCTCTTCGCGGCTGTGGCTCCAAAGTATATAAGCTCCCTCGTCATTTAAAGAATGTGCATGGCTGGAGTGCCGAAAGAGCCAGAAATGCTGTTAATCAATTTGACATGCGCCACGACCAACGAAACTCGAAGAAGCCAAAAGAAGTGAGGAATAAGAGAAGGAGAAAAGTCTGTTGCGAGTGTGGGCGCAAGCAAAGGTATCTATCAAAACACTTACAGAAGCAGCACGGGTACATACAAGGCACAAAGAGGTATTGGAAGGCTCTCAAAGAATCCCGGCCTGTCTATCAGTCCAGTCCTTCTTTCGCTCAGAATTTTGTCGAGATAGAAGGTGACTCACCAGGTGAAGAAGCTACTGAAAAAAGTAACCAGTTCAAGGAGAGTAAAAAAAATGCTGCACCTAGAGGACATATGAATGACGACACAGGGACCTTGGGGGCAACCAGTTCAACTTCGACTATAGACAAAGTGATTGTTGTAGAATCGGCAAGTGATGGTGAAGACGACCTTGAATATTTAGAGGAGTGTGCAGAAAGCGATGATGCTGTGGAGGTCCAAACTGAAGCTTGTGATCAACAAAGTAAAAGAGTATTCGAAGCGTTCGGGAAATGGATCCTTAGCCCCGATGGGGGCGAAAAAGATGCAAGGCCAGCTGCGCTAGTGGTGCGACAAGTGGAGACAATACTGTCGATAATAGGAACACAAACCGTTGAAAGCTTGTTTGACAAGGCTCTAATTCGCGACAAGTTTTATCCAGAGTCGAGAGCGTCGCACAAGGCAGCAACCACAATCAGTTATCTTCATTCTTTGCGCAAGTTTTATACGTTCGCTACAACCGAGGATGACATCGGCCTTCCCAGAGGATGTGAAAAAACGGCAGACGCCCTCTTTAAAAAATGTGGGCAGTGGTGTAAAAGTCTTCGTAAAGAGGTTAAAGAGAGATTTTGGGAGAAACAAGCAGAAGATCTTGCACGTCTTATTACCCCAGAAAAAGTTCAAGAGTTTGCTAAGTCAGAGTTTGCTCGTAATCAAGTCAAGGTCATTGGCGATTTGATAGACAAAGGCCAGAATTCTACACCTCTAGGCCAAATTGAGTACTGTGATTTGAGAAACTTCTTGTTCATACACCTGCTTTCCCAGAATGGGCATAGAAGCGGTGTCATAACGAACAGTACTCTAGATGAGTACAAGGAAATAAGCTGTGTCGATGAAACATACATGATTTCTGTTAAAGATCATAAAACATACAGTCAGCATGGCCCAGCAAATCTCTGCTTCGATGAAAGCCTCAAAGGTTGGTTGGACATTTACGTCGAGCACGCAAGGCAGCAAGTTGTGAAGGGCGGTGGATCCACTTGCTTGTTCTTAAACTGGAAAGGAGCGAAGATGCAGAGCGGCGATCTGTCATCAGCTATAACAAGCACCTGGCGAAAGGGTGGTATGATTGATAAGGAAACACGTATCTCAGGAACACTAATGAGGAAGTCATGCACAACAGCAATTCGACAGTACAATAAAGAGGTTAAGGGTAATGTCGCCGCACATATGGCACACACTGAACGAACTGCAGATAAGCACTATCATCTCGTGCAAAAGCGCACAAACTCCGCTTTTGCTGCTAGGCAATTGACGGCCGTAATGCATGGTAGGCCGAGTTCTCCTTCTGTACCATCACGTAGCAAAAAAGATGACATCGAGCAACCTAGTATGAGAAAAGATGATTTTGATTCACCTCCTGAAGGAAAAGATGATGGTGATCTTGATGCGGTACCTGTACCTCCGGACTGCCAGACCTGGACAAAGGAAGAGGAAAGAGCAATGAAAGAAACCTTCGCAGATAATATCAGCCGCCAATCAATTACGTTACGGGAAGTCCTTGCTCTTAAGCGCACAAATCCACTGCTCTTAGACTGTGAAAACAAAAGACTGTTGGACAAAGTGAGAGGATTGTACAGGTTCAAGAAATCTCAGGGTTCTCTTTTTGAAGACGTGGAGGCCAGCGATTGTAATGACAATGCGAGCGACTCGAACTCAATTATAAGTCCAACTACAACTCAAGGAAAATCGAGAGTTTTTGAAGAAGAGGAGGTGATGGTCTTTTCAAACCTTTTTAAGGACTTGATTCAAGGCGGTCAAAAGATTGAATCAAAAGATGTTGTACAGCGATTGAACGAGAGCGGCCATGAAGACATCATACAAAAATATTCTAAGCAGAAAGTTACTGACAAGATCAGAGGTCTTCGTGCAACTCACATCAGGCAGTGGAGAAAGTAAATGAGAGCATTCCTGATTTCATGGTGGACGATCCGAAAAAAATAAATTAAAGAAAAACTTATTTTAATAATTGAAAGACAGCAGTTGTCTCGAACAAAATGCTTTAGTTTTCTGTGTCTTCTTGGTTTTTTTTTGCGGATCATCTGCATGAAATTTATTTCTGCCATGTTACAACTTCAAAACCAGCAAAACCTACCACTTCCTACCACTTCCGAAGTTCCCTGGACCTTTGTATCAGAACGAGGGTGAGTGCTCAGCCGCTGATATGGAAATGATTTTTTTTTATTCTTATGCAAATAAAACTCACTTTCACAAAAAAGGTTGTGCCCTTAGCCTCATTTTGAAAGTGAGGGCTTTTGGAACTCAGAAGTGGCCTATAGGTTTAGGATTTTTTGTGCACTGATCACCTTGAAATTTCTAGAATGGTACTACCTCGTTAGTCGATTTTTTGGTCATCACTACCGTCGTTTACGTATACGAACAATCTGTAACGCACGGATTTATAAGTATCAAAAACCAGTTTGATGTTACTTTTTGCGCAGGAGTGGTTTTCGATAAATTGAAATGTTAACTCGTTTTTCGTCAAACACAACAAAGGAGATCGTTGGAAACCAATGTAAACATAACAGAAACAAGCGGAAACAGCAAACGCAGAATGAAGATATGTTGTACGTTTTTGTAACTACAATGAAATTATACAGTGCCAATACATAAATTACTTTTAATGTTCAACCGGAAGCCACTCTAGCGCATTTTCATATTTTTTGTCCGAAAATTCTACAATTTAACTACCCTAGTACACTGTAGTAGATTTCGTGGTTATGTTAAGGATATTTAACAATGATTCCTCGAGTCTGAATGGCCATGAGGGCGAGAAGAATAATTGTTTCAGTAAAATCCAGCTAGTTGGTCAAAAATATCGAGATAAAACAACTTTAGCTAGTTAAAGCTAGACTTTAATCCTTTTTTTGCCACCAAAAAGCCGGCACTTTTCGCTACTAGTGGGCTATCACATATAGCCTAGTAGTAGCTCATTCAATCAGAACACAGCGTTGGTAATAGACCACTAGTTGGGTTTTACAAATTCTCTATAGTATTCTTGTGGCCTCTGGTGCATCAACTACCAGTTTTGCCCTCGGATGTATCAATAAACGTTTGATTAGTGTAACCTTTTGCATCAGAGTTTCTTTCAAATTGATTCCTTAGTAGTTTTACTCGTCTGTTGTTTAACACAACTGAGACGAACATCGTTTAGAACCCAACAGAAATTAGTGGAAATGCCAAACGCGGAACGTTTAGGGGTGTTTGTGTTTTTCGTTTTCACAGACGGTGGCCACAAAAATAAATTTGCTATTGTAAGCCACTCTAGCCCATTTTCTTATTTTTCTCAAATGCTGTTCTTATTGCATTGTTTCAAGGGAAAAAATAACTGAAATAAAGGATAATTTTTGTTATACACTGTCGTCATAGACTGTAATTACACTACATTTTATCACGTAATAACTTTTCCTGTTCTAAGCTCATTTTGATCGTATTGTTCCCAAAGGCTGCTGAGTGATGGTCTCACAGTCACATCTATTCAGAAGTTTTGTCCAACTTGTGTTATTCAAGTGCAATAGAACTGTCTGTCAAAAACAGATAGAATGAATAATATAGGGATGGTAAAGATAGTACAATAACGTAGTCCTTAAGTCAACACAAAAAGTCGTTGAGTCCACAAAAAAAGACGCTGAGTCCACAAAAGGTCCTCAAGTCCACTTTGCCGTAAGTCCCT